ACTCACCATCCTTGAGCCTCCATTTTGAATGTGGGCTGCTGCTTCATTTCTGAAATATTTTAAATGATAATTATTTATTCATATAACAGTTCTTGTATTTAAAGAAGATTTTGAGAGGGTCATTGTATTAGTGTTCTCATTTATATCTGCTACAATAAGATAATTTGTGAAAAAATAGTTAATGATTATACTGTACTATGAAAATGTGTCAGTCAGAAATAACTTAGAGAATAAATGAAGTATGGGTGTCACCAGGATTTTTTTTATATGCCTGTGTGAAAGACTTAAAGAATTGTACCGCAAAGAGTGTATTGAGTAAATTTAAAATGATGTTTCTGGTATTTGGTGATAAATGACTAACTAGCCATGTAATAAAACTAAAAATTAAATATATATAATGCAGCATGTTTCTGATAATAAGAATTTAAAAACAATTATAATGTCAACATCTTTCAACCCACTGATGCTCCAAGTTAAATACAAATCTATTCATGAGATAAGTTTTGAAATCATGGGCGTTATTGTTATTTTCATATTTCTAAAGAATAATATTTTACACTGGTTAAGGATGTGTTTTACTTTAGCTTTAATTAATATAATAAAATAAACACAAAACTGACCTTAAATAATGTTTTCTACATAAAAATTTGCATCATAAAAATTAATGATGTACTACCGTGGATAAAAGTTCGCTCCTTCCCAAACTTAAGCAGCTGACCTACCCCGCTCCAGTCGCATTGCTCTCAGTCACTGCATATACAATTGTCTCGTGTGCCCGCTAATCTCGCAACAATGGCTTCCGCTGGACCCCCCCCCACCACAGAAAAACCTTGAACAACCTAGCCCAAGCCGCCCCAAGCCTAAGAAGATACGACGAGATTTAAGCTATGCAGTTAAGTACAAGATCGTGCAGGAGTTCGAAAAAGGTACGAGGCAAGTTGATCTGGCGCGTCAGCATGGCGTGAACCAGTCTACGATCGGGATGATCAAGAAGGATGCCGCCAAGATAAAACAACACATGAGAATCATAAAGTCTACAGGTGCTTCAATGGTGAAGTACTGCCAGAACAAGGTGCTTCTCAAGACGGAGAATTTGCTGGTGAGCTACTTGATTCGTCAGGCAAGACTGAACATGGCGGTGGACACGCGCTCAGTTCAAGAGTACGCCCGTGAACTGTACGTGGCAGTGGCACGCAAGATGGTAATTGCAGAGCCCAGACCCTTCACTGCTTCCTCTGGGTGGCTGCAAGGGTTTAAGAAGAGGAACAAGATCACCAACATTAACATTGGTGGTGAAGGAGCCAGTGCTGACCGTGTTGCGGCTAGTGATTTTCCTCCATTCTTACGAGAAGTTATGGAGGAAGAACAGTACACCGACGACCAGGTGTTCAACATGGATGAACCCGGTCTGTTTTGGAAAAATCTACCTACCAAGACCTTCGTTGTCAAGTCTGCCAACAAGTGTCGGGGCCGGAAATTGCAGGAGCGCATCACCGTCCTGTTTACCACCAATGCCTCCGGTACCTGTAAGCTCAAGTTGTCGGTGATCCACACAGCCCGCAAGCCGCACGCCTACAAGAACATGGACATGACCAAGCTAAATGTCCACTGGCTAACCGTATACTGCCTGACTGGGGTCACTAATTCTAAGGGGGAATATTTAACTCTAATCTTAATTTCTAAGGGTCGCTGCCACCAGACCCCCTCTGGACAGTATGTAACTCGTTAGGTAGCAGGCAGAGTGGACTAGGCATTGGGCTAGGTTTTTCATTGACCAGATCAATGAGGGGAAAGAAGGGTGAAACCACAACATGTCTTAGTTCTTTCAGTTATTCTTTCTACTTACTTCAGTTCATTTTGGTAGTATGTCGATGGCCTAGGCACATGGGTAGTGTACAGTAATTCTGATATCAGGGTCACTTGGACGGAAATAAAGGTAACTACTGTGGGAGAAATGAATACTCCTAAAATACTCAAAGAACAAGTTTATTAATATAAAATCAAAGTACCAGGCTCAACTCCTGGGCTTATTGCAGATTCCGTATTTCTTATTTACTTATTTTCTTATTTACTCAACAGCAATTACTCAGATATTACACTCTTACCGTGCACACTCTTACTGGTGTCACATTACATTACATAGCAGGACCAGTTCCTTGTCCTTACTCACAATACTAATACTGATACAAACACCGACATGGGTCCACTACCCAACATGGGGTAATTATTAACAAACACATACGACCACACTGCGGACCATAACTCCAAGGCCTGTCCCAGGGTATAGCACTGGCGCCTCTAACAATTGCTGTTGTGGTCGGTTACACTCCGACACGAGGCGGGTCTGGGGCCCGAGGCCCACGAGGTAGAGTAGAGCCGATTAATCATGCCGAATCAGCACCATCACTCCTATATTGACCACTGCTGGGTATCCACCGGCTCCGAGCGACCGGTGGGTTTCAATTAAGCCCACCCTCGATCTGAGAACGAAGGTGAAAGATGATACGGGAGGTTTTTTGGGGAAGCATGGTGGGTCACAAACAAATCTTCAGTCTCGCCACGTCAAATATGTACGTTTTATTACTTCTTACACTAGGTGCATGACAATTCCACTGTTAAAGCATGAACACTGATGAACACTGATATTCACTCCAATAGACTGGATCAAACTAAATGGTTATAAACACAGAACATACCTGGGAACGAAGGTGAAAGATGATACGGGAGGTTTGTTCCTCCCGCCTCGCACTGGTTTATATACCCCTGAGTTGCCAGCGATCGCTACTCACGCAATGACAGAATTTACACACAATCTAACTGTTACAGATTCAAGGATGACCCGCAGTTGACAAAGGTCTGGCGAATTACTAAAGAAGATTTACACAGACTAATTCAAGACTGCGTTTGCCAGTAGAGATTGGAATAAACGTAGTGACAACTGTGTTTGAAGGCGGGACTTACTGGGAGTGATCCTGAGGGTAAAACGGATGGGAAAAACACGTCTCTCCTGAGATTCTACAAGCGCGGTGGATTTGAATGTTATGTAGCGTAATATGAATAAAATGGGTTTTTAGGAATGACAATGATGTGCGCAATACAACCGCACGTAAGGCGTGGATGTTCACTGCTCTGTCCCTCTCCTGGTTTGACGACTGTTTCGTTCCCGACGTCAAGAAATTCTGCGAGCAATAGAATGTTCCATTCAACATTTTGTTGCTCCTTGACAACGCACCTGGATACTCGCCCCTACTGTTGGATCGTCATCCCAACGTAAAAGTGGTCTTCCTTCCTCCCAACACTACGTCGTTAATCAGCCCATGGACCAGGAGATGATCTGCAACGTTAAGGCTGCATTCTCTGCAAAGAAGCTCAAGCTCCTGAACGACTGTACTAACACCAAGGATGAGTTGCGTAACCTGGGTGACACCGATAGCGAGAGCGACGACGAGGAAGAAGAGTTGGTGGAGCAAGAAGTTCGCGTCAAACAGTTTTGGAAGAAATTCAACGTCAAGAAAGTTCGGATACCTATGGGACTGACAGTTATCTTGGTGATTTTATGTACTGTACTAAGTAATAACAAGGTGGATTTTTCAACCCTGAATTTTGCAACACATTTATTGTTAGTTTGATAACTACATTTATGGATACAAGTGGCACCGACCATCCTAAACTCATCGGCATGAGTAAAAAATAAACTCACCTGGCCTTGTATTCCATAACAAAGTAGTTCATGGGGCAGCCACCGTCGAGCCAAGCGTTAAGGTGAAGGGAGATGGAAGAGGAGGTAACCTCAACAAAGCGATGCACCTCTGGAACCTCGGGTTTCTTGCCTCTGTGCGAGTGTTGAGAATCTCTGATGAGTCACCGGTTCCAATCCTAACAGATGAAAGTCAATTAATTATGTGCCAAGAGATCTATATTTACTAAGTCATACATTGATGTTGGTGCTACAAAATTAGATACAAAAGCAATGTTCCAACATACAGCACAGCACAGCACAGCACAGCACAGCACAGCACAGTGCAGTGCAGTGCAGTGCAGCACAGTGCAGTGCAGTGCAGTGCAGCACAGCACAGCGCAGCGCAGCACAGCACAGTACAGAACAGTACAGTACAGTACAGTGCAGTGCAGTACAGTACAGTGCAGTGCAGTGCAGTACAGTACTGCAGTGCAGTGCAGTGAAGTGCAGTGCAGTGTAGTACAGTGCAGTACAGTATAGTACTGCAGTGCAGTACAGTGCAGTGCAGTGCAGTACAGTACAGTACAGTACAGTACAGTACAGTACAGTACAGTACAGTACTGCAGTACAGTACAGTACAGTACAGTACAGTACAGTGCAGTACAGTACAGCGCAGCGCAGCACAGCACAGTACAGTACAGTACAGTACAGTGCAGTGCAGTACAGTACAGTACAGTGCAGTACAGTGCAGTACAGTACATTACAGTAGAGTACAGTACAGTACAGTACAGTACAGTACTGCAGTACAGTACAGTACAGTACAGTACAGTACAGTGCAGTACAGTACTGCAGTATAGTACAGTACAGTACAGTACAGTACAGTGCAGTGCAGTACAGTACAGTGCAGTGCAGTACAGTACTGCAGTACAGTACAGTACAGTACAGTACAGTGCAGTGCAGTGCAGTACAGTACAGTACAGTACTCAGTTTAAAAAATGATTATACTCTATATAACATAAGATATGACACCCACAGGGCTCTCCTTAGGGGCAGATGCCCTTCCAGGGGGCCTCCCAGAGGCAGCGGTGCCCTCAGGGGACGTCCCATGGGCAAAGGCACCTTAAGGAGCCCTCTGACGGGTGGTGGCGCCCCCAGGGGCCCTGCTACGGGTGGTGGCAACCAGGGGCCCTTCCAGGGCGGTTGGCGCCCCAAGGGGCCCTCCCAGGTGCAACATCGATCCCAGGAGCTCACCTTACGGGCAAGAGCAACCCCAAGGGCCCTCCTAGAGGAGTTGGCGCCCACAAGAGCCCTTTGAGAGGCGATGGCGCAGTCAGGAGCCCTGCCAGGGGTGGTGGTGCCCCAAGGGCCCTGCCGTGAGAGGGGCGTCCCCAGGTGCCCTCCCAGGGACAGCGGCGCCCCCAGGGGCCCTGTCGGGGAAGAGGCGTTCCCCAAGAGTTCTGTCATGGGCGGTGGCGCCCAGAGGGGCTTTTCCCTGGGCGGTGACGCCCCAAGGGGCCATGCCTATGGCGGTGGTGACCAAGGGGCCTTGCCAGAGGCGGTGGCACCCCAGAGTTCATTCTAGGGCCGGTGGCACCACAAGGGGCCCTCCCAGGTGCAACGGCGCCCCCAGAAGCTCTCCTGGGTGTCATATTGCAACTAGACCAGCGGCTCTCAACCTTTCTCACTCCATTCCCCCCTTGAGGAATGTTCATCATCCTCGTGGCCTCCTTCATTTTTCTCCCACAACAGACAAACAGACAAGTGATAAAGACTAAAGAATGATAAAGAAGGACAGATAAATAGGACAAGAGTTAGAATGACAAACACACACACACATTCACATACATAACACGCCCATGCACTCACACATAAAGCACACATACAGTCATACACAAACATGCACACAGGTAAACATTCACACTCAAGCTAGCAAGCTAAAGTGTACTTCCTGTAAGCAAGAACACGCCTCCTTTGACAAGCACTGCCCAACTTGGAAGAATGAGAAGAATAGTGAGTCATACCAATTTAGCACTAAAAATGGTGGGATTATATAAGTAATGAATGAGTATGAACAACAATGGCACCAATAAATAAGGAAATAATTAATAAAGGAAGTGTGCAAATATTTCACCCACGTAAAGCAGCGACCACATGAATTATGAAACAAAATAAGTAACACCAATTACGGAGTATATTATGCTTGAGTCAAGCTCAAACACAATATATGGTTCAGAGACAATACACTCCACTGTTTTCGTGATGGTATCCCAGGCCAGACTGAGATCATTCGGTCTTATCACCACTTGCAAAGGGATGACACACAGACACGTACTGAACAAGTCAGTTCAGCAGCTCGGTCCAGCGCCTGTCACACAGACAGGGACTGGACCTGTGAAATCTTAAATAATCCGTAAAAAAATAAAAAAAAATTAGCACCAGAGTATGTATATAATAAAATTGTATTGTCGTTATGATTAAACAAAATGACAAAAAAAAAGAATGAAAATTGTCTTCTGCCAAGTCAAAATAAGTAATACAAGTTTTGTTTAATTCAGATTCCCAACATTATTTGGAAACATACAATTTATAACAGCTCGCCGTGGCTCCCTTGGGGGCCATGCCCCCAGGTTGAGAACCACTGAGCTAGAGCAACTACAGTATATCTTGAGCTAGTCAGGCCGCACCTCGATTATCAGTTCTGGTGCCCTTATTATAGAATTGATATCAATTCACTGGAGTCGGTGCAGCGAAGAATGACGAAAATGATTGGACTTAGAAACCTTCCATATCAAGATAGATTAAATAAACTAAACTTGCATTCCTTAGAAAAACGAAGAGTGCGGGGAGATATGATAGAAGTATTTAAGTGGGTGAAAGGAATCAATACAGGAGATATAGATAAAGTTTTTTATAATATCCGAGCAGGATAGGACTCGTAGCAATGGATTTAAGTTGGATAAGTTTAGGTTTAGGAGGGAGATAAGAAGGAACTGGTTCACAAATAGGGTGGTGGACGAATGGAACAAGCTTAGCAACTTTGTAGTAAGTGCTGGAACGCTGGAAAGTTTTACAAGGAGGCTGGATAGATTCATGGATGATAGAGAGTGGTAGTAACTCTCGACAGGAGCTGCCATGCACAGGCCAACCGGCCTATTGCAGACTCCTTATTTTCTTATGTTCTTACAGGCAACAGCCGCTCCAAGGGCCCTCTTAGAGGAGTTGGCGCCCACAAGGGCCCTCTCAGGGGCGAGGGTCCCACTAGGATCCCTCCCGGGGACAGCGGCAGCCCCAGGGGCCCTGCCAGGGGCGGTGGTGCCCCAAGAGCCCTGCCGGGGGAGGGGTGTCCCCAGGGACCCTCTCACGGGCAGTGGCGCCCCCAGGAGTCCTGTCAGGGCAGATGGTACCCCCAGAGTTCCTGCCAAGGGCAGTGGCGAACCAGGGGCCCTAGCAGAGTTTTTTTTTTTTTACCCCAGAGGCCTTGTTAGGGGCGGTGGTGCCCCCAGGAGCCCTGGCATGGGCTGTGACGCACGCACGGGCCCTGCCAGGGATAATGACGCCCGCAGGACACTCCTTAGAGGAAACAGCGCCCCAAGGGGCCCTCTCAGAGACAGCAGCGCCCCCAGGGGACCTCCCAGGGCGTAGGCGCATCCATGGATTCTTCCAGGGATGGTGGCTCCCTCAGGGGCCCTTCCAGGGGCGGTGGTACCCCAAGGGGCTGTGTCAGGGTCGTTGGTGCCCCCAGGGGCCCTCCCAGAGGAGGTGGCGCACCCAGCGGCCCTTCCAGGAGCAGTGGCGCCCCTAGGGGCCCTCTCAGGGCGGTAGCGCCCCCAGGAACCCTCTGAGGGGCGGTAGCGCGCCAAGGAGCCCTCTCAGGAGCCCTCCCCATGAGCTCTACTTACGGTTAGCAGTAGCCGAATGGGCCCTCCCAGAGTGGTTGGCACCCCTAAGGGTCCATCCAGGGGCGGTGGCGCCCCTATGTGACTTGTCAAAACCGGAGGCGCCCTCAGGGGTCCTCTCAGGGGCGGTGGCGCTCTACGAGGCCCTTTCAGATTTAGTGGCGCCCCAAGGTGCCCTCACAGAGGCGGTGGCGCCCCCAGAGGCTCCTTCAGGGGCGGTGGCCTCCCCAGGACCCCTCCCAGGGGCAGCAGCGCCCCCAGGATCCCTACCAGGGACGGAGTCGCCCCAATGGGCCGTGCCGGGGGAGGCCTTTCCCCAGGGGTCCTCTAAGGGGCGATGGCGCTCCAAGGGGCCTTCCCAACTGCAGCGGGGCCTCCAGGGGCTTTCCTTAGGGAAGGTGGTGCCCTCAGGGGCCCTGCCAGGGGAGGTGACGTCCCCAGGGGCCCTTCACGGAGCGGTGGCGCCCGCAAGGGACCTCCCAGGGGCGGAATCACCCCCAGGCGCCCTTCCAAGGGCGGTGGCGCTCCAAGGAGCCCTCCCAGCTGCAACGGGGCCTCCAAAGGCTCTGCTTAGGGGTGCTGGTGCACCCAGGGGACCTGCCAGGGGAGGTGGCGTCCCCAGGGACTCTTCAGGGAGCAATGGCGTCCTCAGGGACCCTCTCAGCGGCCGTGGCGCCCCTAGCAGCCTTCTCAGGGCGTTGGTGCCCCTATGCCCATGCCTGGGGCGGTGGCGCCCCCAGGGGCCTGTATTAGCCCCTGTCTTATAGGCAGAAGTATTTATATAAATGAATTGATTACATTAGACTTATATACTTTATCACCCTCTGTAACTTTCCTCTAGCTATGAGGTAGCATGTTCAGAGCACGTGATAAGGTGTGCCCACGGGAAGTCACGTCACTTAGTGGTGAGTTAAGCATTAAGTAACCGGCTCTCTGGCCACCTATTGCGTGCAGTAGTTTGATATTTCTCACCAGAGGAAGACGTTATTTAGAACCATCGTGGATGGTTCCGTCTTCCCTCGAGGGAGGACGTCGGATATATTTCCATTCTTCACTCGATGGGTTCCTACTCGCCTCACTCAACTATCTCATCAACAGGACGTACTTAGCACAACTATTTAACATATCCCCCGTCCTTATTTAACGCTCATAGCTACAGTGGTTAAATTACGGTGATAATCCTTTTTGAAAGTGTACCTAGAAACTTTTTATAATAAATACAAACAAAGGAACATAGTGGATTTCACTACAGAAGATCCAATACACTTTGATCTATATTTTACTATGTCTAAAACATAAGGTAACGTGCCACACAAGTGATTGTTACAAGTGGTGACAATCCAGGAATGTTGTTACATATATGACAGTTTCACAAGTAGCTGTTATTCACGGGAACAGTCACCTCAACAGATACACAGTTGGTAAAGGTAGAGATATTATGTTCTCCCCATTACTGTGGCATACTGGTACATCTGTTACCTAAGAGAAGCAATTCGTTAAAGGCCCGCCCAGGTGCAACAACACCCCAAGGGCCTCTCCTTAGGAACAGCAGCGCCCCCAGGGGCCGTCCCAGGAACAACGACGCTCCCAGGGGATCTCCCAGGGACAGCGGCGCCCCCAGAGGCCCCTCCAGGGGCGGTGACGCCCCCAGGGTCCCCTCCCAGGGACGGCAGAACCCCAAGGGCCCTGCCAAAGGCGGTGGCGCCCCCAAGGGCCTTTCTGGGGGATGGGCGTTCCCCAGGGGCCCTCTCAGGGGCGGTGGTACCAACAGGGGCCTTTCCCGGTGAAGTTGCGCCCCAAAGGGGCCTTGTCTTGGGTGGCTGGCGCCCCCAGGGGCCCTACCAGGGGCGGTGGCACTGCCAGAAGACCTGCCAGAGACGGTGGCGGCCCCATTACCCATGTCAGGGGTGGTGGCGCTCTCAAGGGCTCTCCTTAGGGGCAGCAGCGCACCCAGAGGCCCTTCCAGTGACACCGGCGCCCCCAGGGGACTTTCCAGGGGCGGTGGATCCCCCAGAGGCTCTTCTTAAGGGCAGCAGCACCCCCACGGCCCCTGCCAGTGGCGGTGACACCACCAGGGGCCGTGCCACGGGCTGTGTAACACCCCTAGGGCCCGTGCCAAGTGCTGTGGTGCCAACAGGAGCTCTGACAAGGGCTGTGGCGCCCCCAAGGGCCCTGCTAGGGGCGACTTGCCCCCCCAGCGTGTCGCCCACTTGGAACGGGTCCCCTAGGGGTTCTCCTTAGGGGCAGCGGCGCCCCAAGGAGCCTTCCCAGTGTAGGGGGGGCGGTGGAACCGTCAGGGGCCCTGCCATGGTGGCACCCCAAAGGCCCTGCCAGGAGCGGCTGGTGCCCCCAGGGTCCCGCCAAGGTGCAACAGCGCCCCTAGGGGCTCTCCTTAGTGGCAGCAGCGCCCCTAGGAGTCCTCCCAGAGGTGGTGGCGCTCCCATGAGCCCTCTCAGGGGCGGTGGTGCCCCCAGGGCCCCTGCCAAGGACGGAAGCGCCCCCAGGGATCTTCCGGGGGCGGTGGTGCCCTCAAGGGGCCCTCTTAGGGGCGGTGGCTACCCCAGGAACCCTCGCAGGGGCGTTGGCGCCCCCAGGGCCGCTGCCAGGGGCAGTGGCGATCCCAGGGCCCCTGCCAGGGACGGTGGCGCGCCAAAGGGCACTCAGAGGTGCAACGGCGCCCCCAGGAGCTCTTCTTACTGGCAGCATGAGCCCTATGGGCCCTCCCAGAGGTGTTGGCGCCCCCAGGGGCCCGTCCAGGGACTGTGGTACACCAAGGGGCCCTTCCAGGGGCGATGGCACCTCTAGAGGCCCTGCCAGAGATGGTGGTGCCCCCAGGGGTTCTGTCAGGGGTGATGGCACCCCAGGGGCCCATCCAGAGACGGTGGCGCCCCCAAGAGCCCTACCGGAGGAGGGGCGTCCCCATGGGCCCTGTCTGTAGTGGCGGCGCCCCCCAAGGGCCCTGTCAGGGGCGGCTGGCTCCCCCAGGGGCCCGCTCAGCTTCAACAGCGCCCCAGGTGCTCTCGTTAGGGGCATGAGCGCCCCCAGGAGCACTCCCAGAGGAAGTGGCGCCCACAGCGGCCCTGCCAAGGGCGGGGGCGTTCCCAGGTGCCCTACCAGGGGCTCTCCCACGGACAGCGGCGCCCACAGGGGTCCTCCTTGGGTCGGTTGTGCCCTCAGGGGCCCTGCTAGAGGAGGTGGCGCCTGCAGGGGCTCTGCCAGGGACTGTGGCGTACCCAGGGGACCTGCAAGGGCAGTGGCGCCCCCAGAGCTCTCCCTAGGGGCAGCAGCGCCCCCCAGGGACAGCAGCGCCCCAAGGGGCACTCCCAGGTGCTACGGGGCCTCTAGGCGCTCTCCTTAGAGGCGGTGGTGCCCCCCGGGGCCTTGCCAATGGAGATGGCGCCCTCAGGGCCCTTCCAGGAGCGGTGGCATCGAAATGGGACCTCCCAAGGGTGGTGAATGCCCCCGTGGGCCCTTCCAGAAGTGGTGGCGCCTCAAGGGGCCCTGCTAGTGCCAGTGGCGGCCCCAGAGACCTGCCAGGGGCGGTGCCCCCCCAGGGGCCCTGCCAGGGGCGATGTCGCCCCTGCAGGCCCTCTCATTGGCGGTGGCCCCCTCAGGGTCCTTCAGGGGCTGTGGATCAACAGGGGCCCGCCCAGGTGCCAACGGCGCCTCCAGGGGCTGTCCTTAGCGTGAACTGCGCCCCCTTGGGCTTTCCAAGGGGCGGTGTCGCCGCAAAGGGCCTTCCCAGGGGCGGTGGCGCCCCTTGAGGCCCTCCCACGGGTACCGGCGCTTCAGGGGCCTTCCCAGGGGCCCTCCCAGGCGCAACTACGAACCTCACAGGGGCGGCACCGCCCCTAGCTGCCCTACCAGGGACCCTTCCAGGGGCGACGGTGCCCCCAGGCGATCTCGTTAGGGGCAGCGGCCCCCACTATGGGTTTTCAAAGTGCGACTTTAGTGGTAATGTGTTATTCTGTAAGTACTTAATTAGTTAAACCTATTGAATTTCAATTCTGAGAAAAAAGTATATTTTGGTCGAAAAATTATCAAGGCTTACATTTTCGACAGTTTCAACTCAAAAATATACATTTTTTTAAATCACATTATAGGGGCACCCAGGGGTCCTCTTTAGGGGTGGCAGTGCCCCCCGAGGCCCTCCCAAGGGCAGCAGCGTCCCAGGGGCCCTCCTTAGGGGTGTCGGCGCCCGTCAGAGCCCTCTCAGGGTCAGTGGCGCCCCAAGAGGCTCTGCCAGGGGCCGTCCCAGGGGCGGCAGTGCTCTTAGGGGCCCTCCCATCGGCGAGTGGCGCCCCAGGGGGCTCTTACAGTGGCAGTGGCGCCCACAGGGACCCTCCTTATGGTTGGCGGCGCCCCTACGGGCCCTGTCAGGGGCGGCGCCACATCCTCAGGCCCTTCTAGGGTTGGCGGCACCCCTTATGGTCCTTCCAAGGCTGGGAGCGCCCCAGGGGCCCTCCCAGGGCCAGCGCCCTCCAGAGGCCTCCCCAGGGGTGGTGGCGCCCCCAGGGGCGGCGAGGACCCGGTAAGAGGCGGCGGCACCCCCTGGGGCCTTCCCAGGGACAGCGGAGGCCCTCCCAGGGGTGGCGGCATTCCCAAGGGCCATCACAGATAAGGAGACGCCCCTAGGGGTCGGTACAAAGGCGGCAGCGCCCTCTGGGGCCTTCCCAGGGGCAGTGGCGTCCCCAGGGGTCCGCCCAGGGGCGGTGGCGCCACCAGTGGCCCTCCCAGTGACGGTGGCGCCCCTAGGGGTCCTCCCAGGGTCATCTGCAACACCAGGGGCCCTCGCAGAGAAGGTGGAGCCCCCAGGGGCCCTTCCAGGGGCGGTGGTGCCCCCAGGGGCTCTTCCATGGGCAGCAACGCTCCTAGGGGCCCTTCCAGTAGCTGTAACATCCCCAGGGGCCCTCCCAGAAGTATCTGCGCCCCGAGGAGCCTTCCCAGAAGTGGTGGCATTCCCAGAGGACCTACCAGAGGCATCGACACCCTAGGAGACCGCCCAGGGCAGTGGTGCCCCCAGGAGCCCTCCCAGGGACGGCGGTGCTCTTAGGGGCCCTCCCAGGAGCATCTGCGACCCCGGGAGCCCTGCTAGGGGCCGTGGTGCCCCCGGGGACTCTCCTAAGAGTCAGCGGCGCCCTCAGAGGCCTTACTAGTAGCGGCGGCGCCCCCAGGGGCCCTCCCAACTTGCGGCGTTCTTCTAGGGGCCCTACCAGGGGCATATGCGGACCTTGGGGCCCTGCCAGGGGCGGTGGCGTACCCAGGGGCCATCCCAGAGACGGCCACTTCCCCAGGGGCCCTCCCAGGGGCTGCGGCGACCCCATTGGCCCTGTTAGGGCGGTGGCGCTCCCAGGGGCCCTCGCAGGGGCGCCGGTGCTCCTAGGGGCCCTCGCAGGACCTAATATTACCGAATGTAATTTATATCAACTCCGTTCATTGTATATTTTCAGATTTTGGCTGGAAATTCCTTTCAATAACTAATTCATCATAATTATTATCATTATATCATTATTATTATCATCATTATTATTATCATTATTATTATACTATCACACACACACATTGTCATCTAAAAATACTCCCACAATAATACTGACGTCAGCCCATACAGAGAACATAATACACAAATTAAAATAAATAAAACAGCACCAAGATGAACAGGTAACTCGGTGACCAACACAGTCACCTCATGTACAACCAAAGACAAAAGTCGTGTCGTGAAATTTTGGTGAAAACATAATTATGCCGGAGGGTTAAACTTTTGGTGCCTCTGCCTTGTAGTAGGGGGCTCTCATAATGTTCCACGAGATATTTTATTTTCGGACAAAATCGCGACACGACTTTTGTCTTTAATTGTACACACGTCACTACAGAACACATGTCAAGTATGAATGGAACTTGATGATGTCTGCACAGAAAGGCGATGTTGACACTCTTGGTAAAACCCTTTGATCCATTATATTCACGGATGCACCCACAGGATTCCTGGCATTGTAAGGGAGAGATCAAAAGCCCAGTGAGTGTAAAAATATATGCGACGGCACGGACGTTTCAATACCAATTCTCAGGGGGCCCGGGCAAAAGCCCCCTAGGACAAAAGCCCCCTAGGACAAAAGCCCCCTAGGATAAAAGCCCCCTAGGATAAAAGCCCCCTGTTTTTATGTTAAAGAGAGGGTCATTAGAAATATTAAAAATATATAGAATTAAATATGAAATTATTACAATTTAAATAATTAGAATATTATAAATCTTTCAATTTTGATATAGAACATTATTAAATAAATAGAAAAGAAAAAAGTCGACATATTTTACCTTCATGTTCATTCTGTATTTACTGAGGTGACCCGAGGGGAGGGGAGTAATTACCGCAGTAGACAAAACATACGTCATTACGGAGTTAATAAGCATTCCTTGTATACTTCTTTATAACTTAATTCCCGAAGGTTAGGTTAGGTTAGAGAAGTGTTCATAAACTGTAAAATTATAATAATTATTTTAAAAATTCTTATTATTTCTGCTTGGGGGCTTTTATCCTAGGGTTTTTTGTCCTAGGGGCTTTTGTCCTAGGGGCTTTTGTCCTTGGGGCTTTTGTCCTAGGGGGCTTTTGTCCTTGGGGCTTTTGTCCTTGGGGCTTTTGTCCTACACTCGTTCTCACCGAGTCTTTTCCAGTCGGCCTGTGAAGCGTGGGTGGGTGAGTGTTTGTCCTCCTGATTATTATTATTATTATTATTACTACTACACAGTTATACAACCGCTACATACAATACACAATCCTACACCATCACACAATACAGAATCACCACCATAGACAAAACAATTAATAATCTGGCTGTGTACTGGTTGGGTGAGGTTAAGGTAGGTTAGATTAGGTGACCGTCTGGTTAATGAATAATGATAAAAACGTGCATTATTATAATCTTTTATTACGTATAAATAATATTAATGCCTTGTTGGAAATTACTAAAACAAACATTAATAATTTGACATCATTAACTGTTAAGGTGAGAGACGGACAGACAGTTTCTAGATATCAGTTTTTCCTATTTTCGGATTTTGTCTCTCAATTTAATTCACTCTTAAATGAACACGTCTGGCTTATCTCTCTCTCTCTCTCTCTCTCTCTCTCTCTCTCTCTCCTTTGTACTAACATTTGCACATCTCTTACTGTTTACTAATAAAGTTACTTCTAGTTGTACAAACAGTGTTCAGCAGAGAAGGAAGGAGAAGCTAGTGGCCCAGTACTCTCACAGCGTAAGGCAGTGAAACATGGACGAACTTGTTAACACTGCACAACACAGCACAGAAAACCATAGCAAGTGCATGGCAGCACAGTACACCCCAGCAAAAGGCAATGAAACAGTAGAACACGCTAGCACTTTACACCATACCACAGTACAGCATTACACACCATAATACGGTACAGCAGAAGACAGCCGAGTATATTACAGCATAATATGGCATAGCATAGTACATAGCAACACAAATCAACACGGTACAAGAGTATTTCATATGACAACACAGCAACGTCCTATGCATCATTAACCATAGCACAGGAAACACAGTCAAATAAGACGCCTCACAGCATAACAAATAACAAAGTAAAGATTAGAGAACACGGCACAGCTCTCACGTGTCGCTTATATCACTTTAACATGAATTTCGCGACAAGAGAAAAATGTAAACATACACTTCCTGGAACGAGTCATTCAATAACTAGTGTGTAAGTCGCTAGCTATCCCGTCCACCGCGCGTCGGGATACTCGATTTTCATGTTATTTTTGTCTATTAACTGGTTCTTAATAAACGCGTCTAAACGAGACAGTATTTTAGGAGTAACTTTATTGTCATATCGGACGTTTTTATTGTATTTGAAATTTGTTTTTTACATCTCTAGCTAACGATACGAGATTTTGACGTACGAACTTGCAAAAATCAAAAATATCTTGTATCATTTTTCTGATAGAGTCTTGGTATAAATATATTTTGAACATTATTTTGGCGCATCATCTTATTTTAAGAATTCAAGTCCGGAGATGAAAACAGCAAGATAAAGAGACTTACAACTCAGTCTAGACCAGGGGTTCTTAACCTGGGGTCCATGGGTCCGTGAAGGTCAGATAAAAATTTAACATTTATATTCACTATATTTTTGTCAATATATATATCCATTGCATGCAAAGTTGTGTTTATGTGCTTATGTGCATTTTTCTAGGGAGGGGGTCCATAGCTTTCACCAGATTCTCAAAGGGGTCCGTCACTCAAAAAAGGTTAAGAATCACTGGTCTAGACTATAGTGACGAGCTGGCAATACTGCGACGACCTGCAAGCGACACGGGGACCCCTAACGGCTGGGGTGAGAGCCACTGGACTGTACACACAGGTGACTGTTTCTCTGTGTGTGTGCCTGTATTAACCCAACAAGACCCAGTGTCTGTATGTGTAATCATTAAGTACCATTATCCTCTGCTCAGCTTAAGTCAACGAACAACACTAATTAAGGAACATTTCGTTATAAAACTGAATTAATAAATACAATTCAATGTTAATGAGGTTACTGAACAGATGTTAAGAGAGAGAGAGAGAGAGAGAGAGAGAGAGAGAGGGTGAGGGGAGGGAGACGAGGGGAGGGAGACGAGGGGATGACAGTCACATGGACAATCACGTGCAAGACACCGTCACACCGCGTAGTCTGCCACATCCACGACCACTCACCTCCGCATACTTCCCTTATACCCCCAAATATACCAATATACTTTTCCATCTTATATAACCATAATATATAATAAGAATATACCAAATATATCTCACTCTGAAGTATATAATAGGAAGGTTAAAGAGAGGTTGGTAGGACATGTGGCACTATGGAGACGATTATTCCAGCACTGACATCTGATGACACTGACTCTAGAGTCTTGTGGGTGTGGGTGTGGTGTGGGTGTGGTGTAGGTGTGGTGTAGGTGTGGGTGTAGTGTGGGTGTGGGTGTAGTGTGGGTGTGGGTGTGGTGTGGGTGTGGGTGTGGTGTGGGTGTGGTGTGGGTGTGGTGGGTGTGGTGTGGGGTGTGGTGTGGGTGTGGGTGTGTGGGTGTAGTGTGGGTGTGGTGTGGGTGTGGTGTGTGGGTGGGTGTGGTGTGGGTGTGGTGTGGGTGTGGTGTGGGGTGGGTGTGGTGTGGGTGTGTGGTGTGGGTGTGGGTGTGTGTGGTGTGTGTGGTGTGGGTGTGGGTGTGGTGTGGGTGTAGTGTTTTTTTTTTTTGGGCATTAACCCACGGCACAAGTCACTGACCCACATCAGGGCCTGGGGGGGCGAAAATGTATTAATTATTCATAATAAATAAAATTTATAATAAAAAGTAAAATATAATAATAATAATAATAATAATAATAATAATAATAATAATAATAATAATAATGTATGGCACAGGTAAAAATTTATTTGATTAGACAAAAGGTGATAATTTAGACAATAATTGTTTTCTTATGTTGATTAACTTAATTTCAATAATTACTGTTGTAAAAATAAAGTATAACCAATGATGCAAATAATTCATTCTTTCATGATGATTTAAGGAAGAGGAGGATTTGGATCGCTAAGGGAGTAAGGCGCTGTGTGGGACGCTGGGAATCACTGGTGCTGTAGATGGTGATGAGGGTGATAATGCGGATGGTAGTAAAATATCCACATCATATACCACTTAGTGACTTCCATGCAACATAAACGCGATACATCCATCTTATACGCTTCATAATCACGTTTAAAACACGTCTCGTTCACATTTTTGACCTGATGTGACTTCCTTATTGGGGTCAAGTTGCCACCTCCCCACCCCCCCGCGCGAAGCAAGAGACTCACTCATATGACTTACTGAAAGAGGCGCTCTCGGGAAGTGAACCATTAGCCTTTTGTGCTCACATGAAAACGTAATTAGAGTTATGGGGACGATGGCCATGGAGGAGGAGGAGGAGAATGATGAAGAAGAGGAAGAAGAGAAAAAAGAATGGATAGAAGAGGAGGAGGAAGATGAATAAGAGGAGGAGGTGGTGGCGATGCGTGTTTAGCACATTAATCTGGGTCTACAGAGAGAGAGAGAGAGAGAGAGAGAGAGAGAGAGAGACCCAAGGAAAGCTAAACAGACGGAGAAGAAGAAAAGAGAAACAAATGACTGGTCAGAGAGACAAACCCACTATTGTATCTTCATTCAATTATTCTATCTATATACATTTATTTTTAACAGGCTCCTCTTAGCCAAACAAACAGACAGACACGTACACATACAGACACTCGGGCTACAAAATACAGACATACATAATGGAAGCCCCTTGAAATCGAGGATGGCCGGCCCAAGGGCCACCTAGGCGTGAATTTGTTAAGGTGTAGAAGCTGTCGCCAACACAACAACCACA